TAGAAATAAAAAACATTAAAAGCATCAGTGTCCTTTATCCTGTTGCATCTTCTAGCATTTATTCTAATGGTTGCTTTAAAAGCTGTATCGTTTGTCTAATAAGTAGATAACAACATTCTTGGAGGAAAAACTTGTGGTCTGTTGATTTGAAGTTTCACAACTGCATTTAAATTATTCTTGATAAAATTAGTGCAATGTGGTTGCCAAGGATATTTGCCAGAAGTACAGTTTTAGCTGGTTAAAAGAAGTGGATGAAAAAATGAATTATTAAATAAAGTTATACCAAGCTGTTTAGCTTTTAAGCCTAACTAACTTATTAGATTTCAAAACAGGTTTTTATTGACTTACTTTTAAATTGCCTGATGGATGCTAATGGTTTCATCTTCCTTTCCCTCATGGAACTGCAGAAAAAAAAAAAGAGTATTTTATATAATGCCATATCTGTTTTCATATTAAAATACTAGGCCCAAACATATTCCCCCTAAAAGCTAAAGGAAAAAAAAAACAAAACCACAAAACAGAACATGGATCAAGATTTCTTTTTTATATATTAGTTTTAAAAATCAATGTTTGGTGAATAGTACAGGGAGGCTTTTTTCTGCTATTACATTTTGCCTCTTTGATAAGAAAAAGTTAAAACATACATGTGCAGATTAAGTTTTAATTCTGATATAAGAGGAATTATTATCAGCATGCATTTAGGTAGGGGTTTTTTCGTATTTTGCAACCACATGCAGAATTCTGTAATGGACTTAAATATTATTGAACATACGGAATGAGGATCACCTACTTTACATTCGGTCATTTTCTATGGCAGAAATTGTTCTGCCTATCATTATTTTTCTCTTATATTTTTTTACTCTCTTTAGATGTAAAATACAATGTATAGTACATGACCCTAACTCTGATTTGAATTATATTTAATTTAAAAAATAGGATAATTTAATATCGGTTATGTTTGCACCAAAAAAAAAAAAAAGAGGCTCTGGTTATTTAGGAATTTTACTTTCTATAAGTCAGCTATTTAGAAAATCAGATCTTTATTTTAAATACATATTTTGAAAGTCATATGACAAAAAATATGCATATAGATGGCTTTTTTATTTACAGAAACATGAAAAAAGGAATGGATGCAACTGTTAAACAACCAAAAATGATAAATAATTTGACAGTTTACTTTAGACACTAATGGAGCCTAAGAGCTTTTAAAATGACAGAAATTTCACCAAATTTAATGATTCATAGGCTTATTTTTATTATACAAGTTGGTCACATAGCTGGCAGTTTTGTGTGGCTCTTGTAAATTACTGTACACTGTGATCTGAGTGTAAAGCTATTAGACTTGTGTGAAGGAATATGACATCACTTCAGGAGATTAAAGCAACTCCCAACTGTGCGTGTATACAATTGCTCCACACTTTCTAAATTTTATTGTTGTCGTTGACATAATCCTTAAAGAAAACATGTTACTGTTGTGATGCACTTTACAACCGTAACTTGCTCTATGTGAAATGAGCTTTTGCAAAATAGTATTTCTTCATGGAACATTGATTTCAGTTCGCTGCATCCTAGTTTATACACACTAAAGTGTGGTGTGCCTGTTCCATAGTATGGTGTAAAACATTTTTATTGTATTGCACCTTATGAATTAACACAAACTGTTGAATACCCTTTAGTCAATGTCAAGTCTACTGAAATTCCTATTTAGCACTGACTGTGTTCTTTCCAAATGTTTTGACAGTAGTCATCCCCGTTAAGTGCTTTCTGTATTAGGCTCCTGTAGCTTGGACGTAACCTGATCAGTGTTTTGTTTCAGTGTGTTGTCTGCTGACCTAGAGAACACTTGCATTAGCTGCATTGATCAATCCACATCACATCTCATCATTTAGGAGACAATTAATACTACGGCGTAAAGACTCCCCAGAGCATTTTCCTAGAGCTGGATTGCTTTACATAGAAACCACAGGGGTTGTTTGTAAAAGGGGGAGGAAGCCAAGTAGGAGGAGGAAAAAAAAAAAAAACAAAAAAAAACACATTAAGAAAGGTTCATCTAGGAACCAAGTTTCATTTTCTCTGGTGACTTCCCTTTACATCATTCAAACTCCCCTTTGGAATGGAGTGTTTGAGGGGAAAACAAATCAGCTGTTTTTTGGAGATGATTTGTGGAAAAGACAGTATAATATGTCACATAAATGTCCTAAAAATCTTGCTCTTCAGAAACATGGATTTGATTGTGATACTTGTATAACTTGCTATTAAGAGTGTAATCATTTTAACTTTATATTTTATCTCAAGGATTATTAACCTGACAGCTTTTGAAATACTGATTGACGTGTTTTAGTCTTAATTATTTTTAAATAAAATATTTTAATAGACAAAAAAGTGTTTGTTTCTCATTCTAGTGGTAGAGCTTCTTCCCCATCATTGAATTTCAGTATTTCCTGATACTGTTTCTTTAGAAAAAAGTCTGAAAAATTTTAAGTGTATATGAATTCATTAAGTTAATGAGCATTCAGAGCTCTTAGTATGCTGTTTCATCTTTAGATAATGAAATATTTAATCTTTAGAGCTCATCCACCGAAGAGACAACTACTAATAAAACACAATTTTTTCTTGTAGATGACTAAGGTTACTGTACTATTCTCTGCTAAAGACTATTTTGCAGTGTTGTAAGGAGTGTATCAAGATGAGTTGATAACAGTAGATATTGCTAAAGGCATAAAATTGGTAGGAAAGGAATTTTAGGGAGGAGGTTACTTACCTCCCTAGTACATTAATCTGTGTATTGCCTGTGGTTCTGTGAAGATCTTACAATGGTAATGAGTCCATCTAACATGTTGGGAACTTCAGAAATCATTGCAAACTTGTTAGTATTTACCACAACATTACATTCTAATTTTCTTTTATTTAGGTAAATAAATATTTCATAAGGAAATATTCATGTGTCATTAATGTCAATAATATTTAATAGGAATATGTCAATAATGTTCATGTTATAATTTTCTTCTGTTAGTGGAACTGTTCTACTGGTATTTGAATGTAAAAACATGGTGATGAAAAATCATTAATTTGAGTCTGTTGGAAATACACAGACTGTGTTTGTGGAAGCATGTACTACATGAAATTTCAAAATAATTTTACTTGGACATCTAGGTTGTTTTGGTTTAGTATATCTGCAGAACGAAAGTGGAAAATACAGTACTCCCTTTTAAGTTTCATTTTTCCAATTCCCGTTAGATCCTGGTTTTCAGGTCAAAACTGATTTTGTGGAACCTATTAAAATGGTTTGATATGTGGAATACACAATGTGGATTGATTCAGTGCAGTGTCATACCTGTATCCTTAGGATTGATACTGAAGGTGTTTTTTTATTCTTTGTCTAGCGAGTATGTATCAAGCTGTAAACCATTGTGTAAAAAACCTTTTTTTGCTATAAAGCAATACAATATAATCTAAAACTATCCTGAATAAAGAATAAATAATGAATAATAAAAAATAGTTAAAAACATTATAAGTAAATAATAAATTAAAAATGTCTCTAAGTAAGTCATAAATAGAAAAAAAGATTAAGTATTTTTTCCCAATTCTGCATCAATTTTTGGTCATTCTGCAGTAATTCAGAAATCAAAGAAATAAGGACTAGTATGTTTTTTATAACACAAACAGCGCATTTTCAGTGTGGAAAAAGGTTATGTGGCAATGTGGGGGTTGTCTAAGACTTTCTGGAGAAATATAACTTAAACCATGGTAGTTATTTAATATTTGATTGTAATCTGCAAAGAATTGCAAATTCTATCAGGTAACATACAAAAGATGAGATAAACATGAGGCATCAGACTGTCTTCTCAAGGCTGCAGAAATAGGCAAGTCATTATAAGATTCAGTGAAATTAAATATAAAAGTAAGTGTCAGTGATAAAAGGAAGAGGGAGTGACAGCCAATACAAGAAAAAGATTGTGCTTAAGACTGGAGACTTAAGGACAATGACACAGAGCAGAGTAGAACAATTAGAAGACTGGGAAAGTGTTGCTCATCTGCTTCATTGCCACCAAAGGCCCAGTATTCTTACACATAGAATAAATATGTATTTCACCTATCAGACCAATTTGCAAGTGTATATTTTCCCATGACTTTAGAACATGAATGCTTAGTAGGTAGTCACATAGAGTCTAGATATCCTGCATGAACAGCATTCAGTATAACTCTAAACAGAAGTTCTTGAAATATAATTTATGGTATTGACTACTTATCTGGTACAAGATTTCATCATTTCCAACTGCTAAATCACAATAAAGACAGCTTAAAGTTTGTGTATTCAGTAAATAATTGCAGTTATTGCAAGGATGTTGTAACATAGAAAGGTTATAAAAGATGAAGTGGATACTCAAATATATGAGATCAGCTGTCCTTGAAAGGTCTTGGCATAACAACTTGCAGGTGTTTTAAGAAATTATCCCAAAACCTCTACACTAAATGAGTGTATTTGCAGTCCAGGTGTTTATTACAAAAGATTGTTCCAAGTACCTCTATAATATTGGCTATTACGTTCAACATTATGGTGCCTAAAAGTTGTATAGTATTTTAGAATAATCTAGAGCTAGGCTGGAATAATTTAAAAGGCATGTATTCTTCACACTTACTGAATTTGCTAATATTTCTAACAAAACTGCATGGGTTTTGGTGGTTTTTTTGGTTTGTTTTGGTGGGGTTTGTTTTTCTTTGTTTGTTTGTTTTTCTTTCTTTCTTCTAATTTATATTATCTAGATTGGCTTGGAAAGTTATGAGTTTGTAGGATCTACACAAGTAGGAGTTGTTTAAAACATCTTCAAATCATCAGTATGATGTTATCTTTTAGAAATAGTTTCCTTTGTATGTTTATGGACGTATTGCTATTTGGTTCTGCAAGGTTGCATTTGAGTGCCATCTTTATGTCATATTTGAAGCAGTCGGTGGGATCTTGAAAAATCCACTTTATTCAGATCAACTTTTGGTATTTGCAGGTACTACAGAGCGGGTGTGTCTGATCCAGGGAACAGTTGAAGCACTAAATGCGGTTCATGGCTTCATTGCAGAGAAGATTCGAGAAATGCCTCAAAATGTGGCCAAGACAGAGCCTGTCAGCATCTTACAACCTCAGACAACTGTTAATCCAGACCGCATCAAACAAGTGAGTTTTTGGTTGGGAATAGAGTCACAGCAGCTCCTTAGAAGTCTTAAAACTTTAAGGCTGCAAGGGGTCAACATAACGTGTTCTTTAAGAAAATTATTTTACCCTTCAGTAATTTGTCCTCTTTTACCTTATACTTATGTATTCCTTGTTTCTTTCAGACAGCCATTTCTAAGTTTCAATGCCACTCTCTACTGTTTTTCTTTCATAAACTTCTCTCTACTGTATAAGGTGATACTACACTTCCAGGTTTTAGATAAAGATTGCTGAATTTAAATCTCAAAGGATTAACTTCTTTGTAAATATCCAGCACTAGTACAAATCACAGATTTTTAGACAGAATGTTTCCTGCTTTTATGTATATAAAATAAAACCAATTTTTTTTTTTTTTTTTACATAGACCATATATTAGATACTTTAAAATCTTACTTGTAAGAATTTGAAAATATAATTTACTTGGGATGTTTTCTACAACTTCAATTTATGTTATTTTTGGCATATTTTCCCTGTATTACACTGTCTTCTTTCAAAATCTATGGTCAATGCAAATATCTTTGCAATGTATTATTGGTCTAGTATTCTTTAGTTCATTACATTTTCCGGAAGAATTTTATTTTTTTTTAAATAAAATTGCCCTGTAAGAAGAATGTGAAATACGTGTCATTCAGGATTTTAAACTGTACTAAATAAGAAAAATCTGAAGAAAGAAATGAGTGAATATTAGTAAAATTTTGTCTTGTCTCTCTATCCTATATAGGATAGCTTTTAGTTTTGCAACTGTCCTATATGGGAGAAGTTTGTTTCATCCTTTTATGCTAGTAAGATCTAGTTTCCTATATATAAATTGGTAACTGTATGCAATTACTTTACTTTGTAAGTAGTGACATACACACAATGGTTATATGAAGATGTCTTCAAACAGCATGAGTTTGGAATGATTAGACTGCGTTTGATGGATGAAACTGTACATAAGTGATTGTATATGATTTCTATTTACCACTATATTATTTTTCTGTATATGTGATACCTTTATATAAAATACTCTAGATAATTTAGAAGAGAATACTAAAAAGAAAATCCCCAATTTTATAGGATTAATTTATCCATTATTAGACAGGAAAATTATTATGCCTGAGATAGAAAAAGCTGAAAAGACCTGTATTTTGAATGGCTTTCCTGCTCATAAAATGGCTTATGCCAATACTTCTTAATCCAGTGGGAAATCAGTGTTCTCTATTACAATGAAAAATGTTTTTCCCCTGTGTTATGAATTGAAACTAATTTTTAGGTGAGTCAGTAAGATCCTGAGAAAGTAGATTACAAAGCTGTTTAGTTTCATGTCTAAATACTTCCTCTCTTCTATCTGAAATTGATATGGCTTGCCCACAATACTTCTCCAAAAAAACTTATTTGTAAAGTGTTTCAGTTTTTTTAATCAGTTTGTGGGATTTTTTTAGTTTGATTGGTTGGTTTGGGGTTTGTTGTTTCTGTTTTTAAAAGACATTTTCATGTTTAGAAAGCTAAATTAAATTCTGGGGGGATTAATTAGTAAACAGAGCTTCTACTAGTCAAGCTAAGACATAAACTAAATACAATGTGTACCTTCTAAGACTGATTTATTGACTGGCCCTACATCTAAAATTTAAATATATTACCTGTATACATACAGGTGTATAATAATATAACTGCAAATATTTGGAGATACGCATGCACTTATGCTGAGCAGTTTTAGCCACAATGAATTGTTTAACTTCTCTTTTAATAATGCAAAATCTATTCATGAGAAATTCATACACTATAAATATTGATTCAATAAATCTAAAATCTATTTTTACCAAAAAGTAAAATAGCTTAGTTCTTAGAGTTTGCAGTGAAGTAATCTATCCTCTAATGTCAGAATATTCTGTATCTTAATGAAAGATATAATATCCCTATTTAAGAAATAAAAGGTTAATATTTTATAACAGGTAATCATAATCTATAACTCCAATGTTGCCTTTTTTTTTTAATAGCAGACAGGTCTCAATTTTATTAAAATCATCAGTGTAATTTATAATATGAGTCATTTTGGACTTTGCAAAAAATAAGCTTTATGAATTACAATTTCTTCTTTTACACAAACTTCTACATGATTCTTCCTGTCTTAGAGTACTACCTAATAACTTTGGCACCCACAGTATTATTTTGCAGATTGAAGAAAGTAGACTTAGCATTTGAGATTGAGAGTTGATTTGAAATAATAAATTTTACCTGCATTAGGGACTTCAAAGATATTTTTGTTGGTTTTCTAATTGTTTCTACCAAAAAGCAAATGTCGTTTTCTCCCTGTAAAGAAAACCTCCTTCAGCTACAGGTATGTAGTTGAAGCATATAACTCTCATTTGCCTAATGTCATTTCTTTGTCTGAGAATGCTGTACTGACACTCACCTCAGAGAAATGAGCTATCTTGTGGCTACAGTTTCAATGAAGAAAGACAGTAGGTAAAGCCTTTGCTGACGTGACTGCTTCACTTTCAGCACTTTCTGTTTTCAGGAAAGACATGGGTATACATTGAGGCTGAGTCTGGTCTGGCATTTCTCCTTTCTAATGGAAGTCCAAGCATTCTGGTCTCTCTAACTTCAGCTTTTTCAACTTCAGATTTCTTTTGAGCCTTCTTCACTTCATTTTTCTACATCTTCCATTCCTATAGACTTAACAGTAGATACCGGGAAATTCTGCCCTCCAAACAAGTCTGATAGATATTTAATTGACAAAAGTTTACATATTTTATCTCTGTGTAACATAGGTGAATCTCTTCATAGGTGTCATCCATCTGCTGTTTCTAGGCATCGTTCAACAATAACCGATTCCTGTGCTCTTGTCTAGAAACTACTCTGAGTGTCTAACCTCCTTTTCTCTCTTTATTAATTGAAGTATCACACCAACTCTTTCAGACCATATTTCAGTAATGTTTCAATAACCCAGTGATACAGAATAGAGTTGTCATAAAGTGGTCAGGAGCTTGAGTGGTTTAAGCTTTGTAAGCAGCACACAAAACTAAGTCTTACCTTTTAATATATAGCAGCTCCCATGAACAATGGAAAAGGCTACATAATGTGGTCTTATCACATCACTTTCTTCAGAAACTATTGCTAGCTTTGTATGCTAGTTGAATTTTCGTTCCAGCTTTCAGTTTTTTTACACGTAGCAGGTGTTTTAAAAGCCTGTCCAGGAAGCACATGGAATCAGAGATGACCATTGCAGAATTGTGCATTAGATAGAGGGGAAGATGTGTGATCTTACAGCTAATTCTGCTTCAAGCAGGAGTTTGTGCTGTTTCACCTTCTGAGATCCCTTCCAACCTGGCTTATTCTTTTATTCTATGAAATGTTTAGCTATCAAAGCATGGACGAAGGTTGAAGATTTTTGTCCTTGAAAATCCAGAGTAAAACTTCCACATAAAGAACGTTCCAGTCAGTGTTTTCATTGAAGCCAGTTTCATTTCAGCTTTTTCTGTAGATGAAAAAATTAGCTCTCATGAGTCTTTAACATCTGTTTGTTCATCATGGTCACAGATTTTGTATTATAAATTTACAAAACTGAATGTCTGAACTCAGATTTGCAAATTCACATTCTTCTAGTGATAATGATTGCTTTTACTTGAGAAATTTTGATTAAAAAATAAATTTAAAAAACCCAAACCACCCTGACTTTAAGAATACAGATCAGGAAATATTGGCTTAAAAAAAAGATTGTTTTGTTTTTTAAATACAGGATATGAGTTCTTCAAATGATAAAGACTTGGTAGACTTCATAGACTTACAGAATGGTTTGGGTTGGAAGGGGCCTTAAAGATCATTTGGTTCCAACCCCCCTGCTATGGGCAGAGACACCTTCCACTAGACCAGGTTGCTCAAAGCTTCATCTTGACCTTGAACACTTCCAGGGATGGGGCATCCACAGCTTCTCTGGGCAACCTGTTCCAGTGCCTCACCACTTTCCCCATGAAGAATTTCTTCCTGATGTCCTATCTAAATCTACCTTCTTTCAGTTTAAAACTGTTATCCCTCATCCTATCACTACACTCCCTGATAAAGAGTCCCCTCTCATCTTTCCTGTAGGCCCATTTAGGTACTGGAAGACTGCTATAAGGTCACCCTGGAGCCTTTTCTTTTCCAGGTCAAATGACCCCAACCCTCTCAGTCTGTCTTCATAGGGAGGGTGCTCCAGCCTCTTGATCATTTTTATGGCTCTTCTCTTGGACTTGCTTGAGCAGGTCCCTGTCTGTCTTCTGATTGGAGCCTCAGAGCTAGGTGCAGAACTAGAGGTGTGTTCTCACAAGAGTGGAACAGAAGAGGAAAATCATCTCTCGACCTTCTAGGCACACTTAGATGCAGCCCAGGATATGGTTGCCTTTCTGGGCTGTGCATGCATATTTCCAGCTCATATTCAGTTTTTCATCCACTGATACCCCCAAGGCTTTCTTCCCTTCAGAAACTTTCACTGTTTTCTTAAAATGCCTCTCCCTTCTGGTGAGCCTTTCATCTTTTTATCTGTTTAAGGCAACAATCTTTTCTTCTAGATGAACCTTACTAAACTGCAGAGTATGAGGAAATAACTGAATTTTTGAGGTAAATAATAAGTAGTTTTTAGATCACTGTCTCTTCATCTAGTCAACAATTTCTTATAAACTTTTTTCACTTTTGAACATAGGTGTAGAATCTCACCAGTTAACCATTCTGCAGTGAATAATAAGATATGCAGGTGTGTTTACAAGTTATGAGAAAAAAAAAAGGCATTATTTACTACAGAGAGAGTTCCTTGTATTAGAGTCCATGGCAAAAGTTTATCATTCCATAAAAATATGTATACTCTATCCTGTCTCTCCTGTGCCCTTGACTTAATTCTGGTGCCAGATCACTGTTTTAATTTTCTGTTTCATTTTACTGGTGTTGGATATAATCACAATATGTATGCAAAACCGTGCCTTATGAACACGATTAACTGGGTAGCTGGTGAT